GTGTGTGTGTGTGTGTGTGTGTGTGTTTGTGTTTGTGTGTAAAGAGAAGATTAGTTTTAAGAGGAGAAAAGACGAAAGAGACTCACCCAAAGACCCATCTGCAGGGACGAAGAGTCTACATAACAATCAAATAATCAGTTTCCTATTCATCAATTTGAGAATATCGTCATATCGTCACAGTCAAATTAATCCATACATAAATCAATATAGAAAATGGCCTTATAAATTTAAATAGTGAAAGACGTTCAGGAAATCCCCAATGAGCAGTGTGTACAACACTAGAAATATTTCATTTCCCCATAAATACCCTGTAGCACTGATTATGTTAGCTGACATTTAAACTGGTAGAGTCTACATCAAAAAGGTGAAGGGGGATTAACTCCTAATGAATGCTATAAGTGCATCTTTTTTTCCCTCGATTTTTTACCACCCTATAATCAGGTCGCGAAAGGCTAGAAATAAACAGCCAAATTTGAAACCAAATTTCTAGAAGTTTTGTTAATGTGTGTATTCGCGCGAGCATACATGTGCACAAAACTAATGAGCAAGCTTTAAAATGATAATATAAAGATACAATGTACAAGACATTTGACGTGCCATGTATTATTATTTAGGCATATGATCTAGATCTATGCAGTAAAATTGACCGATTAAGTATTGTATGTATTGTCGCAATATCTATCTAATCCATCTATCCATCCATCCATACATCCATCCATCTATCTATCCAAACAACTATATATCCATTTATCTATATATCCATGTATCTATCCATCCATCAATCCACCTATCTATCAAGAGATGTAATTCATGGCTCATGCGCCAGTGGGGCTGCCAATACAGCTGACGATCGCCAGAGAGATTCTCTCGAACAACCACCTCGTCTCCCGTGGTCACCTGTGGCGTTTGTTAACCGACGACCAACTTTCTGGAAGAACTGGGTCGTAGGGTCCGAGAGCGCCGGATGTTTCGACGGCCACGAGAACGTAGTGGTAGCAGTTGTTGAGGCCTGCGTACTTTCTAATTTTGGACTCTGCCTTCTTGGCGATACAACCGGGAGCAGGGGCAGAGGAGGTGATGGACAGCGGTGAGAACGAGTCGGAGCATGTGGCGTCCCACACGAGGCATTTGCCACCCTCGAAAGGAAAGATGGTGATGCAATCAGGCCCTTTGCCGTCGCCCCGAGTGTTCAATGATACAGTGTAGGTCGGATGCATCGAGCGCACGCTTCACAATGTCGTCGAGGGCGGCGTGACGCGGGAGACGACCACCACTCTGACGACAGGACAGTGGGCGTAGGCCGAAGCTATCGACTGATGATCCACAACGGCATGAGTGAGGCTCGCACACTTTGAGACCGTGTCTCGTCGCCACTCCGATACGGAGGCTATCATTGTCGAGGAGAAAGGAGTGCGTGAAGCCAGGCGCCGCTGTAAGGTTGGCCGAAGGAGTTAACACAAGCCAGGCGGTGCTGGTTCAGATTCGATTTTAATTCATCGATCAATCGTTGGCAATTGGCCTTGTCCCATGACTTCTGAAGGTGAGGCTTCTCTTTCTGGTGGCATTGCGAGAGTTGGCCAGTTTGCTGGCGCGGACATGGGAGTACTGGAAAGGTCGTGGCCATGGCTCTCCATGCGAAATAGAATGTTTTGATGAGTTGTTCATTTTTGTTAATTATGTTCACATTTTGGGTTAACTTTTCGTGGGTTGCCTTATCACTGTATTTGGCTCTTTATTTCACTTTGATTACCATGTCAAACAAGTCAGCCTTCGCTTCTGCCCATCTGTAAGATGAACAATTAAAACGTATATCCAAGGAGTTAGACTTAAAAGAATTGAGTAAAACCCAAAAAACATAATGCAATCATTTTTTTCTTCTCTTGGCTAAAACCTTTTTGCTCTGGTTTCAGACCACCCCAAGTCCACAGGCTGCCGCTGTAACGGCGAATGGCAGAAATGGTGGCATAGACAAACACACAGCCTACAACGGAACTCACAAGTCCATATTTTACAGGTAACTCTTTTGTGCGTTCGAGAAAATAACGTCAGTAACAGGCCTAACGGCGGAGGGACACAAATTATATTGCGGTTTCTTGAATGGGCAAGTCTACATAAACAACAACAACAAAATTATTAATTTGACAACTTTTAAGGGATCTAAAATGGATTCACCGAGCTAACGGAGCCTCCGCCGGTTGTCGTGAGTGACATCGTTGCTCTCTCGCAAGGTCCTTGGTCTGGGTATTACTGGTGTTTTAATCAAAGTCCACATATATGCTGACTGAACAATACTCGTGGTCTTATCTGCGAGGTCTCTTCCTTTTTGGTTTTGTTTTCTTGTTGTTGTTGTTGTTTGTTTTTTTGCTTTAGTTTTCAAATAGCATATAGGCCTTGGGTTGTTCCTTGATATTGTTTCCATACTTTATTAAAACGTGTACGCACTTGATAAAAAGAATATGCCCGTCATCATGAGATCATAATTTTTCGTGAATTATAAATCGAAGATTCGGAGATCTTTATGCTCCATCATGAAGGGTTTTGTTGTTGCTGTTGTTGTTGTTGTTGTTGTTGTTGTTGTTGTTGTTGTTGTTGTTTTGTTTTATGAGGGGGGAGGGTAGTGTGAAGGTTTTGTGCTGCTGTGAGAAAAAAAGAAGTAGAACCAAAACAAAACTGTGGGGGGTTTTTTAAATTACAAGCATATTCATGTTACTTACTTAGGCGAAAAGTAGGACAAAGATAATTTGTCCAGGTTGATATCAGCAGCATGCATTATAGTCTCCTTAATCTTTGAAGTTGACAGCTATACATGTCCAACTGTAAGAAAGGACGCATCCGGGTGAAAGTCTTGGACTTGACAAACTTTATGGAAAACAATTACTTGAACCTTTCGAAAAGTTTACTTTCCGTAACAAAATGTTTTCACGTTTTATCTGAATGTACTGATAATAGAGGGTGCGGTGGCGGAGCGGTTAGTGCGCTCGTCTCCGAAGCGGAAAGTCCGGGTTCGAGCCTCGGTTCGGACACGGATTTTTTTCGCCTCCTCCTGCCCACCCAGCAGTAATGGGTACCTGACTTCGAGTTGGGGAAATAAAGGCGGCGTGGAAAGGAACTGGCCACCCTACCACAATAATATGTTGAAAGCCCAGAAAGTTGTCTCACTAACAAGGCAATCCCCAAGGTCCGGATCGGATGCGGAAATAACTTTACTTACTGATAATAATCGGGAAACGCCTGAAAATGTGTACATTCGGGAGCCTTTAAGACGTGCTCTTGATCCTGTCGAGTATCAGTTATTAATCTTTCTTTCTGTATAATTATCACGCTGCAGAAGGACATGTCCCATGCAGGGGCTTGAGTGATAACAATGATAACAACGCTATTCTTATTTGGCAATACCACACACGTACACAAAAAGTAAACGCATGTTGCGTTCTCATTAGTATCTTAACTTAAGGGTTCGGATTGCGACAAAAATCTTCAACTTGAGAATACTTCAAATGAAAATTATACTTCACTCTTCGCAGTTCGTCAAGATTTCCCTATCACTGACAATACTGAGACTTCTGTTGCGGAGAGTCTCTGGCGTATCCAGTGTCTATATTCTTTTTTGTGAGTGTTTTACGGCGCTCGCAACTGCATAAGGTTATATGAGCGCGGGGGAAACATTAAAAATTTTCATTTGGTAGGAAATTTTGAATTTTGCCCGGGTGGCGGCTGAAGCCTACTCTTATCGATTTTGGACCACCAAGGAATCTTTAACGTGCCCAACTTGAACACGGGACCTCCGAGATTTTTAGCCCTTGTCTGAGAAGGCTAGGTGTAGATCTTTCCGACTCAAAGATCAGGGGTGTAGCTGAAAGACAGCCGTAAGGAGTAGCAATAGTAAGGCTGCAGAAAAAGTCAGGAGCCCAGAGGATGGGGCAAAGGAGGTGAGAGGGTGGAGGGCATAAAGTGGAGACGAAAGCAGACGACAGAACATTGCTGGAGAGCAAGTAAAGAGGTGAAAGGAGACATTTTTTAGAGAAGAAAAATATCCGGCGCTATCCGGATTCGAACCTGGGACCTATTGCACGAGAGGAGAACATCTTAACCTCTAAGCCACGAGAGCCCCCTGCCTATATTCAATTCTTCTGTTCGACTGACTCTGAGGTACAGATAAAGGGAAGATTTAAAAATACTTTGAAGGGAAACTTAGATTCCAACCTAAAGAAGAGGGAGTACATTTGTATAGCACGGGACGGAAATACATGGAGAGCTCTTGCTGGTATCCCATTATCTGGTGCGGAGTAAGAAAATCTGATGATGATGATGATGATGATGATGATGATGATGATGATGATGATGATGATGATGATCATGATCATGATCATGATGATCATGATCATGATGATGATCATGATCAATGTATCACTATCAGTTTGCAAACTGGTAGTTCGTTTCATTTCTATTGGGGTCAATAGTGTTCATGTGTGTTCACAGCTCTGTTCACATATATAAATTATGTTGTGGAGCAAGGTTGAGCAATGAATTCTCGGGTTTTACAGAAGAAAGGAAGAGAAATATGTGTGTATGTATGTATGTATGTATGTAATATATATTATATTTATATTTATATATCATCCACTAGCACCAGTAGCAGGTCCTGTTTCTGTTCTTTACCCCAGTTGTTTCTGTCTGTCTTTCTTGCTTTTTTGCCGAGCTCTAAATGCCCGTTTTCTGCCTATGTGCTTCCCTTCACTCAAACACACACAAAAATAGGGTCTTGTCCCAAATCTCACCGTCCACCGTATTACTTTTTCCGTCCCCTTTGTTCTACAGGACGCCAGCAGACTTTTACGCGACCGGAAAGGTAGAGGCAGACAAAGCTGACACAGCCAAAGGGTCTGTCGGTGTTCTCGACAAGCAAGGAAACGTGCACTCCATGGCAAGCTCGGGTGTACGTGTGCTCACCCCGTCCATTGGTGGAAACGTAGGCCAAGTCAGAACGCGCTATCCCATCTTCCCTGTACACGCGGAAGGAAGTTCTAGTGGCGTTGAGCTCTCGGTGAGGATTTTTTGTCTGTACTATGAAAAAAATGTTATATCATTATGAAAACCAAGCGACATAGCTCATGTGCAAGTCAAACGATTTAATCTACTCTGGCGTCATCTAGGTCTGAAAAATGACATCACAACATCACTTCAAAACTCACATCTTCTTGCACTCTCAGCCGTACACCTCCCTCTCCTCTCAGTCTCTCTGTCT